TGTCTAAAATATGACTTAAGAGTTTTTTTCTTTAGTAAAGGTAAGTATTTTTATTTGAATGTTATTCACCTAATGTAAAGGAACTAGAAATAAATTTAATACTTGTAGCTCTGTAACAGGTCCACGTTAAATGTTAATATATTTTTATTTGAATGTTATTCACCAATGTAAAGGAACAGAAATAAATTTATCTTGTAGCTCTGTAACAGGTCCGCGTTAAATGTTAATATATTTTTATTTGAATGTTATTCACCAATGTAAAGGAACAGAAATAAATTTATCTTGTAGCTCTGTAACAGGTCCGCGTTAAATGTTAATATATTTTTATTCAAATGTTATTCACCAATGTAAAGGAACAGAAATAAATTTATCTTGTAGCTCTGTAACAGGTCCGCGAAATACAGTAGAAGCTGAGAGGCTGTGGTGTAAGCTCTAAGCTTCGTACACTTATTTGATTTTCCATGATGGCTGACTAGTTTAACATCAACGTTTGGATTTTGTCTGATATATGGGATATTACCACCGACATTATCGACTGTGACAATAAGTTGACAACCAGGACTGATAACGGTATTGCAATATTTAATTAATTATTGTTTGATAGTACCGATTTAATTGCCTATAAACAATTAATGTAATCACTAATTTGTAAGCTATTTATATACATAGATATACTCCTGATATGTGCTTGTTCATTTCTGTTTCTCCGGGATACTGTCGTCAACAGAATGTGTCTCTTTATCAGCCCATACGTATCTAAGGATTATGAATGGCGTTTTCACATCTTTAATAACACAAAAACAGCAGTATTGTCACAAAGTAGGTCATTAAATTTTATCTGTAGTCGCTTGTATTTATAGAATCTTGATCTTGGTTGAAAAACAAACAAAAAACAAAAAAACGTCTTGTTAATTATTTAAACAACTGTACGTTTCGTCGTTTTGATTATAAATTTCATATACCGATAATATTATCATACAGATAGAGGGATTAGTTCAGTTGATGTACTCGTTGTACATCTTTAGATAATAATAATAATATCGTCTCACAAAGTATAATAATATCGTCTCACAAAGTCTAATAATATCGTCTCACAACGTATAATAATATCGTCTCACAAAGTATAATAATATCGTCTCACAACGTATAATAATACCGTTTCACAGCGTATAATAATACCGTTTCACAACGTATAATAATAGCGTCTCACAAAGTATAATAATACCGTCTCGCAAAGTATAATGATATCGTCTCACAAAGTATAATGATATCGTCTCACAAAGTATAATAATACCGTCTCACAAAGTATAATAATATCGTCTCACAAAGTATAATAATACCGTCTCACAAAGTATAATAATACCGTCTCACAAAGTATAATAATATCATCTCACAAAGTATAATAATACCGTCTCACAACGCTCGTATTTCATAACGGAGAAGTAAGGAACACTTTTAAATTACAAGTTTCAACATCTATGGAAACCAAACATAATAAGATACATACGAATATACGGGATAGTCAAAAACTGGAAAACCAGACGTTCATGCTCACTTAAGTAAACCTAATCTGAAAAAAAAACAACAAAAAACGTAAGAATTAAATAAATATTCTCTAACTAAAGATGAACTAAGCTTTACATTTTCCCAGAATTCTGTTTTATTATACAAATAATGTTGCTATGGTAACAAGTGTTCTATGAAGGCAGATACTTAACTGATATTAAATTGGAAACTAAGCTACAAGCTTTTCTTGATTAGAATAACTTTAATTACTAGCTAATGTTTGCTTTTAACATGAAAAAAAATAGTAATTCCACAAAAACGAGAGAGATTTATTTAACTTATTTGAACGGGGTTCGAATACTGAATTTGATCTGACTAAAATTACCGTCGTTAAATATTTGGTTTCAAGTTATTATAACTTTTATTGTCGTTAACATTTGAAATTCAAAGTAAAAGATATACAGATGATCATGTGGGCTATACATGCTTATAGATTTATCGTAGAACAATAATGTAAACGGAAGAACAAAACTATAAATGTTTCATATAATCAGGGTTTTTTTTATCTTAGGGCATGCTGCTAATTGGTCGCATGCCTTTTTATTTTTATTTTCTAAGCTCAGATGTAAATGTTGCCCACTTCTTTGACTCGAAGTTCCTTATCGTTTTCGTTTACTGACAACTGTGTATTCGGTAATAAAGATGAGACTTCTGTACCTGATGATTTGAAGTGTGACTGATGCACCACATGACCTGATAAGTTACCACGTGACCCAGAGAAGTAGTTTTTAAAACATAGTTATTTTTCATTCTATCTTTAAAGTTAATTTCATTAACACTATTTCTTAAAATGTTTTATGCTTATGGAAAATATTTTGCAATATTAGATTAATGTATGGATTTAGGACTAACATGGTCGAATGTCAGGAGTTACTATAAGGATTACCGCCGAAAACACCGCTAACATCGAGGGTATATAACTTATGAGTTAATGTATTCTAATCATTATGTTTTTATTTCATAATATTTCATGCTCCCAGTTGGACCAGTGTATCAAATCAGCCACATCATTTACTGTGTTAATTTGTAGTTCTGGTCTACGCCGATATGTGGCGTAGATCAAAAGTTAACGATAATCGCCCCAAGAAATTGTCTGTTTGTTTGTAATTAAGCACAAAGCTACACAATGGACTATCTGTGCTCTGCCCACCACAGGTATCGAAACCCGGATTCCAGCGTCGTAAGTCCGCAGACATACCGCCGTGCCACTGGGGGGCGTCTCAAGAATATATTAGGAGGAGTTGTTATAGACAAGTGAGGGAAATCAAATCAACATTTCTACGCGTGTGAGTATGTGTGTGTTTGTATTTACTGAAAGTATAATCTAAAGCACTTTGTTATTTTACGTATTCACGAGCTAGGCCTAATCTAAGGTAGTTCAAACAAATAACTCGAGATTTAAGAAGCTCGGGAACGATGTGTTAGAAGCTGATGTAATGTTATTCACGACAATACATGAGATTTGAAACTGAAAACAAGGGAAAAAAAACGAACACGAAATGGATGTTACTACACGGTTGGTTGGTATATCGTGCCATGAAAGAGGTGATAAGCGAAACAGTTAGGCACGTGAAATGATGGTACTCGCGTGTACACGAGGAATAGCAGAAAATGACTAATTTTACAAAAGAAGTTGGATAACACGTCGTAGAGACAATTTGTGATATTACGACTTAGGTTGAAAGGTTTTATATATACACATATAATGTTCTATATAAATATATATTAGGTTTTGTACTCTTTTAACCCAGTAAAAGTTCCGTTTATCAATCTAATCTTCCAAAAACATTGTAATTACGTCCAGCGAGAAAAGAGACACACATATATATAACAAAAACTTTAATGGACTGAGAAACAAAGAAATCACAGTAAGGATTGTTTGTTTTAAATTTCGCGCAAAGCTACACGAGGGCTATCTGCGCTAGCCGTCCCTAATTTAGCAGTGTAAAACTAGATGGAAGGCAGCTAGTCATCACCACCCACCGCCAACCCTTGGACTACTCTTTTTACCAACGAATAGTGGGATTGACCGTCACATTATAACGCCCCCCACGGTTGAAAGGACTAGCATGTTTGGTGGGACGGGGATTCGAACCCGCGACCCGCAGATTGCGAGTCGAGTAACCTAACCACACTAAGGAACGGCAAAGAAAATGTTGAGCATGGATGGACAGACAGACAGACACAAAATTAATCAAACTCACAAATACAACAAAGATTTTATTTTACACCCAAGTAGAGTAGCTTTATTAGTCGGGGAACCCCCACAGTGGCACAGCAGTATTGTCTTCGAACTTATAACGCTAGAAACCGGGTTTCGATACCCGTGGTGGGCAGAGTACAGATAGCCCATTGTGTAGCTTTGTGCTTAATTACAAACAACAACAACTGATTATGTATTAGTTTATATGGTTATTGTAGCCGTGTCTGTGAATTTACTACTACTTGCGTTATACGTGAAAGTAGAGGTGTTGAGTAACTAACTATCTTTGTGATCAATTCTGTTATCTTGATTTTGAGGATTTCGGTATTTGGCTTATAAATGGGTAGAAAATGTTTTTTTGGTTGCTTCTGTTATTTGATTTTGTTTTCCCGCTACTTTGGAATAATAAGTCAACTTTTTCCTCTCTTTTTTTTAGATCTTGAGCCTAACAAACATAATGGTTCCATTTTTATTTTGTTTTCAGGTTTGGTCTCGATAGTTCATATATATATATAGTTCTCTTCTGGCACTCTTTCTTCCAAAAGGATCGTGAAACTTTGCTGTCTTCGTTACACTGAGAGGCTCTTTCGTTCAAACACAAGTTAATAAGTTTGTAAATGAAGGAATACGTTCACCGAAGTCAAAACGTATATATTTCTTTATTGACTTTTAGGCTGGAATAAAATTTATTTGATTCCGTGTTAATTATCTCGTCATTTGTGGAACCGCTGTGTGTTACTTTTTATCAAAACATTTTAAAAAAGTAATAGAATACTGTATTAATAGCAGCACACGCACCAAATTAATTGAGTTTCAGTAAGTTTTCCTAAACAAAGTTAAAGGTGATTTCCGGAAACACTAACTCTACCTATAAATGAAGTGAAACTTTGTAGTAAAGTGTCTAAAACAGTAAAAATAACGAAAAAGGGTGTTTTATTAAACAGAAATAACAGAGAAGAACCAGTCACTTTATTTTCTTAAAGTCGAATGGATTTGCACGAAATTAAACAAACAATCAAACAGAAACAAAGAGACAGTGATCCCATTCCTATAATGTATGTACGTAGTTCTAATAGAACAACCATAGTGGCGTCTTTTTAGCTAAAAGACCTTAGAATTTCGAGAGTTAGTTAGGGTTAATTAAGTAAGCACTCACCGAGGGCCGCGTGCCAGGTTCATCTACAATTGGTTAGCTGTAAAGATACATGACGCCTAACTTTCGCCACGGCTTCACTGACTCGGTACAGGATTCGTTTATAAAAGTTAGCTAACAGTTTGCAAAATTCAGCAAAAGTTTTGTTGTTCCTTCTCTCTGTAAACGTTTCACTTATCCGAAGAACTTAAATAGAACCTCAATTTAATCATTCTTTCATGAAACAAAAAAAGAAAACATTTCATTGCAAAATCCAATTAACTCTCGAGTGTTAAGAACACACATTTCATATAATTACTCACATTGCAAGACTTTTACATGTGTGAAGCTATTACATTGTGTTAGCCGTGTTGATTATAGTGCACCGGACGGACAGTGAATTCGAAGATTTGTGGTTCACGTCCCGTTGCATCACTAAATGCGCCGCTCCTCATTTTGAGTGACTGGAAAACCTCACTACAAGATTAGACAAAAACATCCCGAGAGTTGGCAGTAGTGCTGTTGACTAGCTTGATTTTCCTCTTGTTCAACGGTCTAGAATTAGGGTTTAACACAGAGACCCCATGTGGTGATTCTCAATAACTTTCAACCAAGGTTTTCGTCACTACCTAACTCACATATTCCTTCCAATACTTGTCTACAATAACTTTTCTACTTGAAACTTTTATAGATGGCGTTAGTAGTTTCTTTATTGTTGAGCACAAAGCTACACAATTTGCTATCTTTGCTGTGGCAACCTTGAGTATCGAAACCCTATTTTTTCCGTTAAAAGCTTTCAGAATCATTGGGAGGGGTGGATAAGGGGCACATTTAACAGAAGTCAGAATACATATTAACCTGTCTGTGGTATCTGTTTCAGGTAATATTTATTAACCTATCTGTGGTGTCTGTTTCAAGTAATACATGTTAACATATCTGTGGTATCTGTTTGAAGTAATACATGTTAACCTAACTGTGGTGTCTGTTTGAGGTAATATTTATTAACCAATGTGTGGTGTCTGTTTCAGGTAATACATGTTAACCTAACTGTGGTGTCTGTTTCTGGTAATACATGTTAACCTAACTGTGGTGTCTGTTTCAGGTAATATTTATTAACCTAACTGTGGTGTCTGTTTCAGGTAATACATGTTAACCTAACTGTGGTGTCTGTTTGAGGTAATACATGTTAACATAACTGTGGTGTCTGTTTGAAGTAATACATGTTAACTTAACTGTGGTATCTGTTTGAAGTAATACATGTTAACTTAACTGTGGTGTCTATTTGAAGTAATACATGTTAACATAACTGTGGTATCTGTTTGAAGTAATACATGTTAACTTAACTGTGGTGTCTGTTTGAAGTAATACATGTTAACTTAACTGTGGTGTCTGTTTCAAGTAATAAGTATCCATTATCAATAACTTTGCTTTTCTGGTTGTCTTAACAGAAGAACGTGGAACTCCCAGTGAAAAACTAGTTAGAAGAGTAACACCCATGTCTTGAAAAAAGAAACCGTTTTGTGTGACGGACTTGTTCAGAGATTTTGAGCTGTATATCAAAGGAACTTCTCAAGTACTGACTCTTTAAAGTGCTGCTCATGGCGATCAACGATTCATTAGAGGTTATAGTTTTGGTAGAAGAAAACGTGACATTTCCTCATCCCCTATATGATGTAAATATTACAGATGGCCGTGCAGCCGATGATGTTCTTCTTCTGATCGTAAAGGGAACTCTTTTAGCCCTGTTCATCCTGTTGACCGTGTGTGGTAACATGCTGGTGCTGATGGCCGTCTTCATCTTTTCCCATTTACGCACTGCTACCAACTACTTTATAGTTAACCTGGCCTTAGCGGACCTCTTGCTAGGACTAACCGTCCTTCCATTTTCGGCATCCCTGGAGCTTCTGAAGCAGTGGCATTTTGGGGAAGAGTTTTGCACAGTGTGGGCTGCCACGGACGTTCTGTGTTGTACGGCATCTATTGTTAGTCTGTGTGTTATCAGTACAGAGCGTTATATCGGTGTTACTCAGCCACTTACCTACTCCAGCATCGTGACGAGGAGAAGAGCCATTGTTGCCTGCTTCGCTGTGTGGGCCTTGTCCTTGTCTATCTCTGTAGGACCTCTATTAGGATGGCGAGAGCCCCCTCCGTCAGATCCCGTAATTTGCGAAGTCAATAAAGACAAAGATTACGTGCTTTTCTCAGTGGTATTTTCCTTCTATATTCCACTTACTATCATTCTTATCCTCTACTTCAAAATCTACAAGGCTGCAGCGAAACAAACCAAGTTTTTAGAAACCGGAGTGCGGCGGGTCCGTTCATCTGGAAACAACAGCTCAGAAGAAATTACACTCAGAGTGCACACGGGCACCCAGTACGCTGCGACGTCGTTACAATCCAGAAGGCTGACAGACGACTACGGAGACTGTATCTCTCAACGCCATTTGGTCGGAGGTCATCAAGGACGTCTGGGAAAATTCAGACGACAGAAAAAAGCAGCCAAGACGTTGGGAATCGTCGTAGGTGTCTTCATTTTGTGTTGGTTCCCTTTTTTCTTCCTGCTACCTTTGAGTAAGTATTGCTAATCTCAGTTGAACTAAAATCTAAGCATTGCTAACCCTAATTAAACTAAAAATTAAGTGTTGCTAACCCTAACTGATTTAAAAACTAAGTATTGCTAACCTTAACTGCACTAGAAACTAGGTATTGCTGATGTTAATTGAACTAAAACTAAGTATTAATAACTCTAACTGAACTAACAACTAAGTATTGCTAACCCTAACTGAACTAACAACTAAGTATTGCTAACCCTAACTTAACTAAAATCCAAGTATTACTAACTCTAACGGAACTAAAACTAAGTATTGCTAACCCTAACTGAACTAACAACTAAGTATTGCTAACCCTAACTTAACTAAACTCCAAGTATTACTAAGTCTAACGGAACTAAAAACTAAGTATTGCTAACCCTAACTTAACTAAAATCCAAGTATTAATAACTCTAACGGAACTAATAATTAAGTATTGCTAACCCTAACTGAACTAAAAACTAAGTATTACTAACCCTTACTGAACTAACAACTAAGTATTGCTAACCCTAACTTAACTAAAATCCAAGTATTACTAACTTTAACGGAACCAAAAACTAAGTATAGCTAACCCTAACTGAACTAACAACTAAGTATTGTTAACTCTAGCTGAAGTAAAAATCTGTGTTTTTGCTCTAATAATTATCGAAAAGGGATTTGTTTTAAGTTTACATTACAAAAACACACACACACAAACAAAAATCTCCGAGATTCGATGAAGAAACGTATTGTTATTATTGTAGTAAATACGATATTGTATATGAAAATGTTTATATGCGGGTAAGCTTCAACTTAGAACCTGTAAAGTTATATTAACATTTTAGTTTATGAAATGAATGCAAAATTTTCCAATGTTCTTAGTCGATATTCCTGAAGGAGTTTATTTCCAGACTAGCTTTGTAAGAAAGTAACAACAATTTGATTAGTTTTACAGTGGAATTTTCAAACCAATCAAACTGGTTATCGTCAGACAATGTGTGATTAACAACAATTACAACCTTAAAGTGTAGTTGAGTTTGTAATTGTTGTTAATCATACAATATAATAGTGGTGATATTGTTTCGATGAACAATAAGAATTTAACGTTTCATAATTAGAATTAAGACGTTTTCTAAGACGTTTTTTTTTAGATTATAGTATAGAAGAACTTGAAATTATGTATAACGTTTTATTAATTTCTCCGAAAGGGGGCCGCCTGGAGGGGTCACCTATTTTATCCACTCGCACCATAATACAGTAGTGTGTTGCTTGTCAGTCAGTCAGTAGACACTGAAATGATGTCACGTAAAAGACGTTTAACGTTGCAATTTGTACTGTCGTGACGTCATTAAAACGTGCGCATGCAATGAATTACGAGAATAATTATACACTCTGTAGGCTACAACACAGCATGACACGTGAACTTTAAAAACAAGAAACACAAATATTTTTTACTCTAGGAACAGAACACTTCCGAAGACCCTGAGGAAGTACATCTAGTATTTTAACCTATTCACGTGTTCTATGATAAGTTATCAAGTAACCGAAACAGGCCTAATATATCTCACGATGATATAAAGTTAACTGAGGTATGCCCAAAATAGGATTCATTAAGTTACCCCACCTTCTCAACTGTGAAACTTTGATGTATTATAAATGCATTCGTTCGTGTTGGTTGTGCCGAAGAAAGTTTCGTAGCCGCAAAGATAATATATATATATTTTTTATGTCAGACTTAAATCCTAAAAAGATGGCATTCTTTCATTGTTTGTTTGTTTTTAGTGCACCCTGTATACCGCAGGGAATCGAACCCCAGATTTATTTTGTTGCAAGTTCGTAAACTTAACGCTAATCTTCCGGAAGCGGACATTTCAAAGTGTCTCTAAAAACTTGCCGAGTAGTTGTACAATTTGAAAAAATCCGTTTTTTTTTGCGAGAAATAATAAAAAAAAAAACCTCATTAAAAGCTCAAAGAACGAGAGCTTTTTGTAAAGTCTGGCAATAGTTCGTCCAGTAAATATTGAAGTACCTATCCTGCACCTGATTTTAGGAACGATAACACTCTGGGCCAATAACGATAAAAACTAGGTTTCAATACCCGCGGTAGGCAGAGCACAGATAGCCCACTGTGTGGCTTTGCGCTTAACAACAATTAATTAATTAATTAATAACGGCATGCTTGGCACGTGCTGGAGTCACTTTGAACACGAGCGCGTTTGTAGGAGTCATGCTAATAGATAACACGCGTTCATTCGAAAGGCTTCAGAACGTTATAACCTCGAGATGATCGACTTGAGTTTCCTTCTCATTTATCATAAAGAAGTCTTTGTATTAGTTTTATCGTATTCCACTCTCCTGCGGACAGAGTTCTCGTGACATTCCGTGTCTTTGCTACTGTTTCTTTCCGCCTTTTTCGTTATTTATAGAATGGGAAACATCACTAGTGTGAAGGTAAAAAGTCTTGGCAGTTTCAGAAGATGCTAACATATTCTGTTGATTACTTTGGACTAAGGCTGTGTCCCTTGTTCATCAGTTCTGTATACGTGTCATTGTACATAGTGTAAAAAGGTAACAACAATAGTTGTCTGTTCTGTAGCAACAATATTGTATTTTATTTTTCTACATAGTGTAAGAATGTAACACCAATAGTTGTCTCTTCTGTAGCAACAATATTGTATTTTATTTTTCTACATAGTGTAAGAATGTAACAACAATAGTTGTCTCTTCTGTAGCAACAATATTGTATTTTATTTTTCTACATAGTGTAAAAAGGTAACAACAATAGTT